CGGGGGTGTATGTTTGCCGCACTATTGTTGGGCTGCAGCAGCTTTGCTATGTCCTAGACATGCAGAGATTGAGGTCAAATAGAAACTTGTTTTTTTGGCAAATGATGACAAGGGAGAAGGTTTGAGTCGTGCTTCTTTCTCCAACAATTCCTTTGTTCCTTAATCACGAATCAAAGTGTTGTTTTGAGTTGTGATAAACAAAACTGTAAAGAAAGTTTTACTTAGTAATGTGCTATTTGTCACGCTGGTGTCATTATACTGAGATGCTGATGTGCAGTGGGATTGCCAGATCAAAGTATATAGTTTAGAAAATCTCTCGCATCAGCAGAAGTTAGGCATTTCAATGTATTTAAATGTTTACTGAACATGTGTTATACCCTGGTAGCTGCAGGTGTTTAGTTAATTAAAATGTGGCCTCAAGAAAAGCTCACACTCCCTGCCAGAGAGAGCCAGAGAGAGGACGTGGGCGGATAACATTTTTACATTCCGTTTTCTCCTGATCGCAAGAAAGCTATTTTTGTGATTCGGATATCATTATTTCATGATAATAGGAACATCATGCTGGTTTTTCTGATGATCACATAATGAAGATTAAAAGGGAACGTCCCAGACTAGAGACACAGGGGACTATAAAGAGAGATTTGAAAGCTCTCATACAGAGTGCACGCTCCACAATACCTGAATACCTACATTCTCATCAAAAAAGGAAATGGAAAGTCTGTAAAAATAGCATCCTCACAACATGGATTAAAAAAACATTTAAATGCAACAAAACATTATAAACAAAAAAGACTCAATGATTGTACCTTATACCAGACCCAGGAGACCAATAGAAGGAATTCAGATTACCAACAATGATTCTTAACTATAATAATATATGTTATAAATGAAGCGTAAGATAGTAAATGAAGAAGAAAGTAAGATAAGGATGTATCTGTTCAATTAGTAATTTCCTTTATGATTTAGTTTAGTAAATAAAAATGTAATGACATAAAAAGGCTTTCCTTCCGTACCCACAGGTCGGTGTGAGATTGCAATTTGCATGAGTCATATGTGATTGAAACTCCAGCATCCCCCTATTTATAGTTTCAGACCAGTGATGAAAATAGTTGCCTCCGCTTGGGGTTGTTGATAGTGTCATTACTTCCCATGATAACATTGTTTGTATCGGTTTGGATATTTGGCGACTTTAGTCCTAATTTAAGCATCCTGCTGCATTAAGACTGATGGAGATTTAGTCGAAGCACCGAGCCTGCAGAGTCATTTATATTCAGGGCAAAGAATCGCACTATTTGAGTGACAGGTGTGTTTTCTTGTTAGAGCCGAGCCTTAGATAGTTTATTTTCACTGCTAAAAATGTAACCAGGGCGGTGCAGCTCATGCCTGCAGTAAGCCTTGCTTCATCCTGTGCTTCTGATCCTCAATGTGCGTGCGTGCGTGTGTGTGTGTGTGTACTCATGCATGTGTGTGTGTCTGTAAATGTGTGTGTCTGTGGGCTGTGTGTTTAAGAGAGTGAGAAGGGAAGTGTGATAGCGAGTGCCAATCTCCCCCATGATGCTTTGCCATCTGGTGTGTGTGTGTGTGTGTGTGTGTGTGTGTGTGTGTGTGTGTGTGTGTGTGTGTGTGTGTGTGTGTGTGTGTGTGTGTGTGTGTGGTGTGTGTGTGTGTGTGTGTGTGTGTGTGTTGTGTGTGTGTGTGTGTGTGTGTGTGTGTGTGTGTGTGTGTGTTGTGTGTGTGTGTGTGTGTGTGGTGTGTGTAGTGTGTGTGTGTGTGTTGTGTGTGTGTGTGTGTGTGTGTGTGTGTGTGTGTGTGTGTGTTGTGTGTGTGTGTGTGTGTGTGTGTGTGTGTGTGTGTCCACATTTTGTGAGTGTTGTGTACCTTCAGGGTCGTAACTAACGTGAGGTAATGTCAGTCCTAGCCCCTCCTTGAATAATATACGGTTACTGCTCCAAACTTCTTCCTCTCCATGGCTCAAAAATCCATGCATAATTCAAGACGAGGTTATTTTACTCTGAATGATATATATATATATAAGTCTATGTTATGGGTTCAGAATCATTTCCAAAAGTTAGCTAGAGAACAAATGACCATGAATGTTATCTTATTTTTCAAACCCTTTGGTGCACTGCACTGCACAGATATTTATTTTCCCCTTTCCATCGTGTTCCCTTAAAATATAAATAAAAAAGTTTTCTGATGTTTAGTTTTTTTGCTGAGCTGGGTCCCTCAAGCATCACAACACACATAGGCTCTCAGCACTGGATCAGTATTAAAGCTTAAAGAAATAAAAAGAACACAAGCTTCCTATCAGGTGTACTATCTCACTGCTAGCATGGTGCCGCAGGAAACAGATCTGGTCTTTTCTATCGTAGCTCGTTGTCATGGAGACAGGCCTTGTGAGACCATCTCAACCCACTTGTGGTGTAAAGCATCATGGGTAAAGGAGGGGGGGGGGGGGGTGGTGGGGTGAGGTGAGAAAAACAAAACATGTCATCTTCCCAGTGGAGCAGGGGCAGGTTGGATGCCACCTAAACAAACAATGTTATTTCATCAGCGTGATGGAGCACAATAACCGGTGTACATTTCACCACCTGAGCTATGGTGTCATTATCAGCCTCCCCGTAATAAATAGCACATGTATCCCCCATCAATCTATCTGTCTGGCTGACCATCTGTGTTGTCATGCTGCAAAGGTAATAAGACCAACTCCTGCTGCCTTCTCTGTGGATGCTGAGCCAGATGATGGTGGAGAGCAGGTTGTTATAACTATGAGGGGGCTGTAGGTAGGCGTGAGTCATAAGAATATTCTCACAGGATGCTTACACCTTTTTAATTCTGCTCCTGTGACAAGCAAAGTGCATTGGCTGCTCTCTATCTTCTCGTCCAGAGAGAAGGAGCGTGGTTTGAAAGAGATAAACGCCATTAGCACAAAGCGCAGACGTGCCCAGACCGTCTGTGTCTCTGTCTTGGCTCGCTCTCTGAACATCCACAGCTGCAGGATGCTCTAAACCCTTTTGTTTGAACTGTGTCAATGGACCAACAACAGCTGGAGCAGGTCCGCTGGGGGGAGAGGAAGAGGATTCTGAAACAAGCAGGGGTTAGAGAGTGTATCGGAAGAGAAGGAGATGAATGATAGGGAGCAGTGGAGGAGATGGCATAGAGAGAGAAGAGGTTAACAGGGGGGGGGGGGGGGCGAGAAGGAGATGAGAGGATGAGATGGGACGGGAGAAGAGGAGATTTCAGGAATATGACGACTAATGCAGGAGTGAGACGTGGGTAAGATTAAGGATTAGTGGGCGACTTTAGTGGAGGTAGAGCAGTGAGGGCTTTGTCAGCAGGTGAGAGACAACAGGGAGGGTGGGGGGGATAAAGTGAGAATGAGAGATATGGTTAGACTGAGGTCACATAGAAATATAAAGGCCCCAGCTAATCCACAACACAGGACAGAGGAAGCACACACTGCAACATAGGAGCTGTACCTAATGTCTCAGAGCAGAGCAGTCCTCCTAGTTAGATTAACGGTGGCAAATTGAGTTTCCGTAAGAGGAGAATTTACTTAACATGCTGCCAATAGTGCTTGAATGAGCCCTGATCTGATTTTTCTTATCACATTGTTCAATTGAAAAGGGGACGCTGAAAGCTTTCCTATTCAACGTCGATTACGCAGTGCTTGATAAGAAGAGGGCAAAGCGGCGCGAAAATGAGCCCGTATCAGATAGACGGCCATGTTTTCAAATGAGCTATTTTTAGTGTAGGAGCTGGCAGACAGTAATGTGTTTGAGCAGGTCATTAGCCCAATAAGTGTTTGGAGGAGTCTTTGAATATGGAACTCACCAGAAATGCCTCTTTCATTTAGTAAAGGCGAATCAAGGTCGGCCCCATCCCGGTTTCTCCATTTCTGCCCATGTATCGGGGGTGTCGGGGTGAAGGCGCGCTCATGGGTGTTTGCATGTGCCTTTCACAATGTGGCCTGTCCCCTGTGAATGCATGTTATGTCTCCCTTAGAGCATATATGTTATCTTGCGCTGGTACTTAAGGGAGACGTGTATTTATGTGATATATGGTAGGGTTAACAAAGGCTCCCTTCTCATTTGGCCTCCCCACCTGCGTTCTGACACATCGGGCAGGGGGGGGGGGGGGCTGTGGGGTGGTCGGGAGAGCTCGATAGGACTGTGAACTTATTGACTCCCAGACAGGGAGCTTCTACACAGCTTGTCTAAGTCTCTGTTAGCAGACAGAGCTGAATTATGTTCAGACTTCCAGATGCGTGCCTCCTCGTGTGAGTGTCTTGATGAGAGGAAAGAGAGAGGATACTGACGGCGATCTCCCCGAAGGCTCAGGATTAACACGAGGGGCAATATCCAATAAAGCAGCCGTTTCTGATACATTTGGTGTTATTGAATTCTGCTGCATTGCTACTGACCCCTCAATCCTCTTTGTGTAAGTGTTTTCCATTACGGCAGAACAGTCTGGATGTATTATTGCATTAACACTTCTACGTGCCACCAGCGCAGTAAAATACTGAATGCTAAGAAGCTGAAGTTAAATGAAATGATTGGGTTGTCTCAGGGAGAAAAAAACAACTCTTAAAACTGTATCATTTCGGCTCATTTCACGGCTCACTAGAAAAGGAGACTTATTAATACAGAAGCAGTACGGCGAAAACTATTTCAGTCTTCTCCTTGTTCTTAGTTGTTGAGCAGTGGCTCTATTGTTCTGGTATTAGTTAAGTCAGGGCTGGCCTGCTTGAGCTGTTAATCCCAAATCAGAAGTGCTCTGGCTAAATCGAAAGACCTAATCCTGCATTAGCATGAATTTGTCTTAAATGTTCTTCATGAGGATGCTTTCTCTATATCTGTATGAAATATTGTATGTGTTTCCTTTTCCTCTAGGTGCACTGACATTTCAGATGTCGCTCTAAAAGCAGTACGATGAATCAGAGGTGGAGGAGTTGCCTTTCATTCATTTCAGCTGACCTTCATGTTTTTTTTCTGTTTCAGCAGAGTGCCTACCCTTGTTGAGTGAAGCCCGTATCTACGTCATCTCCAACCAACCTACGGTGGAGCCATGCCTCTGTCCAGGACAGGTGGAGCTCTAGCCCGATGCAGGAGGCCTATCCTGGGGCTCCGCTCTAGCCCCTCTCCCCTGGGTCTGCTGCTGCCTTTCATTATCCTGCTAACCGGCCCTTTGAGCAGTGTGTGTGGAGCACCAGGTATGACTGTCTATCCAACCATCCATGTTATTTTTAAATATTCTATTGATTTTTTCCATTATACATTAATCTCCAGATAACTTTTCTTGTTTAGTCTGTGAATTTAAAAAAAAAATGTCCCTCCCAAAAAATAAAAACAGAGAAGGTCCGGAAATCTTCATATTGAGACGCTGAAAACAGTATTTTCTATTTCTGCAGAAAGCATTTTTATTTAATGATTACTCAATTGATTATCAAATTAGTTAGATAGTAAGATAATTTGTTGTCTCTTTTTCTCAAGTAGAGCTGCATATTTTAAAGCAGTATATGTGAGGTATAAAGGTATGAATTTGTATTAAGTGTGTGTATGCATGCACATCCTTTTGTATGTGTGTGTGTACCTGAGGATTGAAATCAGCTCTGGACTATGCCGTTGTTAATATGTTTTGATAAGCCGGGAGGTCCCATCAGCATGTTTCTCATCATCTCCTTGATTACAACATTTCCACACGTTTCCTGCCTCAGTAGTCCACACACACACACGCACACGCACACGCACACACACACACACAGATACGCCATCACCGCTCTGAAAATAATATAACCATGGAAAGAGGATACAGGCTAAAGATGGAGATAGCACTTCACACAGTTAGGAATGGGGACTGTCTAATATATTTTTCATTTTCTATCCATATAAGCAATTTGAGGCCATGATCCTTTGAAACATTTTAATATTCAGTGAAGAGGTAGAATAACACAACAAATAACTTAAAAGGTTGTAGGATTGAATATCTCTGCTTTTAGACTACCTATGTGTATCCCTGCAGAATAGATAGTGCTGTTAAAAGCTCCATCTCCCATATCTCCCTAGCGTACTTTACTAAAAAAAAAAAAATTCTTCCAATAACAACATTTTTTCCTGCAGAGCTTGTAAATGAAAGTGCAGAAATATATAATTCCCTCAAAAAAATGCTTTGCTCATGCTCAATGTTGTTATTTCTTCCTGCAACTTTACCCTTTTGTGAATATTTGTTTACAGAATAAGAGCTCAGAGTCCTCAATTGTGAGATTTTCTTGTCTCTGTAAATTAAACGACTAAAATCACATCTCTTCCACCTTTTTAGAAAATGAATTAATTCATTTCAGACATGATCCTTTAAGTGTGGGAAATGTATGCAAAACATTTCTAATATTTCCCTCATTAAAATGATCTATTACTTTAACTTTTCAACACAAACAATGTTAAAATGCATGCAAATTAAGCTAGGAATAGTTCCTTTCAATTGTTTCGCTTGTGTGTTCAAATGTCCATCTTTCAACGACACAGCATCCTCCAACTGTCCTCATCATCTTTGAATCACAGCATTTGTTTTGTTGGACACATTTGGCTGTAAGATGCAAGCAGATTTGACAGCAAAGACACAAAAACAGGAAGGGATGCATTATTCAAAGCGGCTTAAAGGCTTGTCAGACCACAGCTGTGGTAACAGTATTGCTTCTTTAAGGCATTAGTTAATACAACATTTCAGCATGAATTACAATAATATCCCTAAAATAACTTTTCCAAAATGACAAAGGAATCCTGTACCAAACACTTTTTTTGTTCAAATGGTATCCTAACTACGATATTACACTATGCCTTCCTGTCCCAGCGTTATTCAGTCCGTCAGACAGATGATTACAGGTTGCAAAGGTGATTCATTGGCAGACCAGTGATAGACCTGCCTTCTCCAGTTCAACAGAGTGAAACCTACTATTAAAGAGGCAGAGCTTTTCATTAGGCCCTCACTTTCCAGGCATTTTTCTAGAACCTGCCGATCATAACAAGTTTCAGTTCGGAGCAAATCCATCCAGATCCGGTGCCTTGCAGTGCTTTCCTCCTGGCTTTTAGAAGAAGCTTAAGTGGTAACATTTCCAGTGGGGTCAGGTTTGTATGAGGATTGGTGTTGAAGCGCATTTAAGAGAACACATTTCTGGACACGAAGCCACTGAAACCCATGTAGAAGCCGTTAGAAGCACACTAAATTCATTCGTAATCCTATAGCCAGGAAAAGACCGATTTCAGCCATGACATTTCCTTTAGCCTTTTGATAGTTAACATTCTCACATTGTTGGCAGGGGGAAAAGGCAATTCTCAATACCCTGTTAGCCTTTCTAAGAGTCTTACAGGCAGGAAATATCCCACTCTTGAGTTCTAAAATGTTGGGCATACATTTGTTCTGATTGACTATACGTTACCAGCTTCCTGTTGAGGATTATGGTAAGCATATAATGAAACCACTTTATTGCTGACATTCAGAGTAGGTCTTTAGAGCCACAGCACATTGTAGCAGGCGCAGGAAAAGCCTTGGCACGGTGTTATTCCAGTTACTGATAAGGCATTGCAGGGAAACTATAAGGTAGTCTGCATGCTGGTTAGCCACTAAAGTGAGCAGGGGCGGAAACAGGCTTTTGAATCTGCTAGCGATTGCTTGATAGCGGGTTTTTGTTCCTGTTCTGTCTTCAGAGTTGAAGTGAATCAACGCAGTAGGACCTCACCCACCCAGACACTGGGGGAGTGGGAGGAGGGATCCAGGTTGCTATGGTAAGGGTCATCCTGACTTCACCCTGATGGATAGCGGTGAATCTGTAGCTGAGGAGGAGTTAAGCTGGGCACCATGGCAACAGGCCACAGACGGATAGCAAGGGTGGGTGCATGAAGTTGTTTGATTGATCTGACTCAGCCACTGTGAAAAATATAGGTTCAGTACTGTTGGCTCAATATCTGACTCGGAAACTGCTGTTTTCTTACAGAAGGCAACTGCTGTGATTATTCAACCCACACCAGATGTATCATAACAGATACAATTGTTCTCCTATCATCCCTCTCTAGAGCAAAGCTGGAAATTAATGAACTAAACTAATTTTGGGGAATACATTGTATTTCCTAAAATCATCAGAATCTGAAGTTTAGATGTAAATGTCTTAGACTGTGCAGGCACAAAATGACACCTCTGATATTAATACATTAAAACCAATTATATGCTGTGAATCTGCAGCCAACACTTCGCCTACCTGTGAAACACTCATGTGTCATGACAGCCTGCTGCATGCAGTACGAGGGTAGCCCGCCCTGGAGCAGAGCGAGCGGCAAAGAGAGAGATAGGGAGGGAGGGAGGGAGAGAGAGATGTTCCTCTGAAGCCCAACCCCATCTTTTATTTATGACCCACAGGAAGTCCTTCAACATGTCCTCTAGATGATACCCAGGAAGTAAGCACAACACGCAGCCATAAGAGCACAAGTCAGCCTGACTGGCCACTGACAGTGAATTGGGGCGTGGTCAGCAGGGGGTTGTTGCCAGCTGTGGAGTCAGTTTGATGTAAGGGTAAGGGTATCAATTTTCATGCTTGTTTTTCTCTCCTTTCTCCTCTCCCTCCCTCTCTCCGACTCTCAGCTTCCCCAAAGTTCACCAAGATGCCCACAGACCAGATCGGCGTGTCAGGGGGTGTGGCATCATTTGTGTGCCAGGCCAGTGGCAGTCCCAAGCCTGTTGTCTACTGGAACAAGAAGGGCAAGAAGGTCAACTCCCAGCGTATCGAGGTGGTTGTCACAATGCGCAATGGTCAACTCCTACTGTAGCAGCATGATGAATACAGAGCAGTTTATTCAGTAATCAAGATGCATTGATGTGTGAATGAAAACAGCTGTAATTACTTTGCCTAGATTATGATTCAGTAGATATGTTTTTATTTATGCTAGATCTGCTATTGCTTTTGATATAATTGTTAGATTTCGGTTTTGCATTCTACCTTCTAAGTTTATGTGAAATAGGTTTATTGGCTTTTTTGCTCAGTTTCATGAGATTGATATCCCTATCTTGTCTGTAAACTGAGTATGTACCAATATACTGTATGTGTGTTGACTAGCTTAGCATAGCATTACAGAGGAATGGCTATGCTTCCAATAAGCTGCTAAGCTAAGTTAACCCTTTGATTTTGCTTTTATAGATAAAGCACAGACACAACAGTTGTGTCAGTCTTTTTAGCACATTTTTGCATTAAGAGCTAATCAGGGCAGTTTACAAAATGATAGTTTAGTTATAAAAAAAAAAATTCAATCAATGATGATTGAAGATTATTCATTGCAAATGAGCTAAAGGGCACTTTTCAAAATGGACATAAAAATATGAAGCAGATTGCATGATACTTTGCTCATATTGCTATCCCTGAGCTATATGCAATCAAGCAGGCTGTTCAACAATGCTCAATCTCATGAGAGGCCAAAAGTAAGTATCTACTTCGCTAAAGTGTATTTGTGAAGACACTGAATCTCCGGCAGCTCCAGGAACGCTAGCTGTGTTTGACCTCGTGAAGGGGAGGGCAAGTAAAAAAGGAAAAAAAATAAAAATAATTTCCTTAAGGCAATCAATAGAATATTACACTATAATGATTAATATCACATTATTTTGGTAACAGAGTACTATGCTAAATTGATGATACATTATACTAAACATTATAGTTATTATAATAATCCATCTGTTTACTCGTGCCGTGACTAATGCCTTCTTCCTGTGGTTCTCTGGCTGTCAGACTGTAGAGTTTGATGAGGGAGCCGGTGCTGTGCTGAGGATCCAGCCTCTCAGAGCACCCCGAGACGAGAACATCTACGAGTGTGTGGCACGCAACAGTGAAGGGGAGGTGTCTGTCACTGCAAAGCTGGCCATTATTAGAGGTGAGACACAAACCCTCGCACGCACGCACGCACGCACGCACGCACACACACACGCACGCACGCACGCACGCACACACACACACACACACACCTCCATTATTTTCCACTCGAGTGGCACTTTTATTTCCACGTTCACAAACAAACCTGGTTTCATCCGTTCTCTCTGGTCCCCCTGGCTGTCAGCTGTAGATGGGACAATGGAGCCATGCCACACCCTGCCTTCACAGCAGGCTGCAGTGCACTGTTCTTTTTATAGTCCCTCTGAGTGCGACAGAGCGTGATCTGGCCACAGAGAGGGCTAGCTAGCGTGCTAGCTGACGGGCACTTCAGCATCTCTTTTGTTCTGTAATCACTGCGCTTCCTGGGCAGAGTAAGGGTGTTAATCTAATGTGCTCTTGGATAAAAACGTTCCTAATGTGGTGCTCCAACATGCCATGAAGTAAAGTTGCAGCATGTGGCTGCAAGCCCAGGATCTGAGCACTTGGCTTCTGACCAGCACAGCTGGAAAGGAAGCAGAAATAGAAGGATGACGGCTTGGGCTGTTACTACATGAAGGAAAATCAGGGAATTAGGCCTCAGTTTGGCACATCACGCATTACTGCCAGGGGAAATTGAGGAAGAGGTTGAAAAGAGGTGAGAAAAAGTACGATGGAGGATGAGGAGGTGGTGGTGAGTTAAATAACACAACAGGATGGTGTGAAACAATAGAGATGAAATGGGATGTCGGAGGAGTGGTGGTGGAGGCAGTGTAGAAGTGCATGAGATGGATGAGGATTGTGGAGTTGGCAGAGCTGTGTGGTAAGCAGAAGGCTTGTAGCCCAGGGAATAGACTCCTGTCCATCTGTTACCTTGCCGTCATCTCTCCACACACAGCCCCAATCTAAAGCACATTACCACACAAAGTACACCTCGAGGGCAAGCCTCTCAGTGTGTGTGGCCGTGTGGGCCTCCTCCTGTTTGTGTAAACTTTTCTCTTACTGAGATCTGTGTACCGTGACGTCCCCTGTTGCCTCTGTGACAATTCCTAATCAACTGAGAAATAGAATATAAGACTGTGATGGATGAAACAATATTTGACCCAAAGCAACACCCAGATTGGGAGTTAGTAGCCATACTGTAATACTTTTTATATGTTGCAATGCAGACCAATAGCACATAGATAGCAACAGTGTGTGGTGGGCGATATTATATAAACTAGTTAGATTAAATATAAATCAAAAAGTCAACCAACAGAGTTTGACATATGGTGTTAGGTATCTTTGGTGTGAGTGGGTTTTTGTGGGCAATGTTGCAAATCAAGGAGCTGGGCTGTTTTATGATTTGTATATCGATTTAATTCACCAAATGTCACCAAAAGCAGACATTACTTTGTGGTCATTTTATATGACCGAAAAAAACTGTATCATAATGTATATTGATGTTGTGAGGATTATGTTCAGATTACCCCAGATTACAACCGTAGTGTCATTTTGGTGATCAAAATGTGTTGCCATAGAGACACAGGCAGCACTGTCCTTGATACATTGAGAGTTCTATAGTGTTAGCCTTCTTACAATGGGAACAAAACAACTTATCAAATGCACCAGAGATTGATTCAGAATCCAAACGTTTAGACTGCTGAATGTATCTATGTCTCTAAAAAGCTTTACCTTAAAGGGCCCATGTCATGGCCATTTCCACTGATCATAATTCCATTGTTGAGGTCGACTAGAATAGATTTATATTGTGCAATTTTTCAAACTCACATTGGTTTCTCATACAGCATCTCTGTAAACTACGTGTATTCACTGAATTTCACTCTCTGCCTTTAACGGCTCGTTGTAGCTCCAATAGCTCCAGCCCCCACCCTCCCTGTGAGCACAGTGTGCTCTGATTGGTCGGGACGTTGTGAATCGCGCTGAGCTCCGTGGAGGTGTTGTTTCCTTGTTAGCGATACACAGCCAAACTCATCCTGAGCACACACAAAGTCACAACCGAAGTAAAAACAATAAGTGTGGCTTGATATTGAGTAAGAAAAAGGTTGATAAACGCTGTGAGAATGGGTCTGCAGAGAGAATTTCGAGAATTTCGCCGCGATCCCAACTGTCAACGAAATGGAAGAATCAAATGGACAATGACGTATCTCCAACGAGGCGTTTTGGGGAGGTATTTTCTGTGTTAGAGTTTTACTCGCTACAGGGTGTACTTTGAGGGTTTGTGACTCTGCACACCGTTTACATGCATAAAAACCTTCATAACACACAAGGGGACGGGTAATAACCGGAAAAGCATGACATGGGCCCTTTAACATATGCCTGCTCTAGTCTACTGTTAGCGCCTTTGTCTGGTAAGGAAAAAAGGCACTATATAAATACAGTCCACTTACATTTTTCATGTTAAAAGGCTTGTGCTTTTAACTTTTCCTCAGCAAAGCACATGTTTTGATTTTTGATTTCAAGCATGTTCAATCCTTTAAGTGCTCCAAATGCCAGCCACCAGAAACATGTGGAGAAAAAGAGTGGGACATTTCCTTCGAGAAACCCTCCCTCACACAACTCTGTACCTGAAAAAATATAACTCAATGCTTCTGCCTATTTGACAGTATGCTCCAAAAGCCCTACACTCCTGCAATTCACTATTGGCGCAGGGCTTCACTGTATGATAGATCACGTCAGCCAAAAATGCTGTTAAGTGCAGAAAAGTATTTTCAAAACACGGTTCATTGGATAAAAGGTCCACCAACCACTAGAGCAGAGAGGGGGCTTTCCATTACTGACCAAAGCCTTGAAACGTCTTTTCATCCCCTGATGTGTTTCAGCTCATCATTTTCTATAATGGTAGACCAACACTAATAGCAGTGTTGTACAATGTAAGGGCCCTGTGGTTGGCCACAGGATATGAGCTGCTGCTCTGTAGACTGCCTAATGGACGGAGATGTGGTAGGTTGTGGTAGGTTATGGTCGGGGAGAATTGTTGTGCCCTCATCATCTCCCATCACCCTTCTCATCCAATGACCTACTCTTCTTTCCCTTCCTCTTTCCCCTGACTATATGTGTCTGTCTTTGACTCTAGCAGCCTCCTCTTTGGCCGACAGCGATGTCCGTTACTAATTTCATCTCTCTTGTTTTATTCATTCTTTCATTTTCTCTGCCATCCATTCTGCCTGTCCCTCACTGTCTATCCAGACTCTCTCTCTCTCCGACCCCCTTTGCATTTGTAGAGGCTCTCTGCTGCTCCACCCTCCACCCTCTCCCCCTCTGAATCCGCTCCATCCCCTTTTCCACCAGAACTGCTCTTTTCTATACACTGCAGTTGTGTTGTTTCGCCTTCAGGAGATGCGAATATCTGCAGTTCTGCATGTTTGAAAACCTCTGGTGGGCGAGAGATTCTCATCACTGCAGCTCTGTATGTGTCTGAATGCATGCACATGGATTTCTTTGTTTATGAGCATCTGTGTGTGTGTGTGTGTGTGTGTGTGCGAATATCCGTGTGTGTACGACTGGTTTGTGCAGGGTAATCCTGATTATACTCACTTCCAGTGTCCCATTTTAGGAGAAAGGGAGGCGAGGGATGGGGGAGGAAGGGGGTGAGAGAGAGAAGGGGGAGGAGAGATGTTCTGCCACCACGGCAAACACCCTTCATATGAACAACAGAGTCAGATCAGTGATTCCCCCCAGGCTGCATTGGCAGGCCGTAAACTCAAGCAGCATTTTGGTATGGAAGCAGCTGAGAGTTTCAACTCAGCCTGCAAGAGGATTACACTCCTTGAGTAGAGAACTGGCTCTTTCATCATATACAGTATACCCCTGCTCAGTTTGTATTCCCTTCATCCTTTTCTTGCAGTGTAATAATCATGCATGTTTGTCTGTAATAGAGTTTTAAGTGTGGGGCCTCGTTTTGTGTGTGTAGTCTGCGGCTGATGGATATGTATGAGGAGAGTAGGGAATGGTGGGGACACGCTGGTTATTGGTGGGATTCATTGACGATGCTAAGTCCGATTCTGCATTGTGTTGTGATCTATTATCATAAAGCCCCATTAGCATTTAAAGTGCTCCCCTTCAGCCACCCTGCAGTCTATAGGAGTCAAAGCATTACAGCCTCTGGGGACTGCCGAGCTCTGGCAGATTAATCCTGAATCAGGCACCCTGAGATCGCCTTTTATTTAGGCTTCTTTCATCCACGTGGCCATTCCCCGCTGAAATGAACTGAAAGATGAATAGGCAACCTGTTTCTTAACCAGGACAAATGATGATTTTCTGTGGCGGAGCGAGCGTTTGCGCGTGGGTGTATCTGTCTTCGGCTGAATGAGGGGAAATACAAAGAGAGACAGGAAAGGAAAACCTGGAATCGTGTTTGTTTGTTTGCATCATATGCATTATGTGTTTGACTTTGTGTGTGTCTGAATGTCCTAGTATTTGTGTGTTTGTGTGTGCGTGCACGCGGATGCATGAATTGCATATTTGCCCAGATTCGGTTGGCTCCACCGACTGGTTTTGGGCGCCAGGCCTGATTGCCCTTCTGCAAACACAACCAGGCCAAAATGAAAGCTCTCAACCTCTTGATACACACAAACACACAAACACAAAGCTCCAGGGAACAATGCTGGTTGGTCCTTGCCAATGTTCCGCCGAAAGCTGTTGACACACACAGTGTTTATACACACATGGCGCATTTTTCCATAGGCTGTCTTATCAATTTAAACAGGAGATGAGGCATAAGCGGTACTTTTGTGCGGCAGTGTTTGTGTTTGATAAATGATTCATTTGGGGGAAAGTGTGATCAAGGCCATGCCTGCAGTATCTATTTCAAGCTGCCGCTGACTCATCCAGTAGCCTGGCTGAATACCTGAAGCTCCCTGCTCTCCTCTCCTGTGAACTGTACTTAAATGCCCAGTACAACTAACTGTCTGCAGGGCGATGTCTGTCTGCAGAACAGAGTGTGTGTCTGCGGCTATCTCTTAGTGAAAGTTATGACGCTAAATAGTTAAATACTCGTTGCTGTTGGTGAACATTCTATCGTCT